GCCCCATAGATTGCCTAGGCCTCCTCACTGACACCCACATTCAGGAGGTCTTGATCAGTCCCATGTTGAATTCCTAGCCATCAGTTTGGGATTCAAGAGCTACTTCTTGTTCAGGTCAGCTGTTTCTGTGGGTTAAACAAGCCCAGTCTTGACCCCTTTGCTCATCAGTCCTCCCTCTCTGTCACTGGGTTCCAGGAGTTCAGCTCAGTGTTTAGCTGTGGGTATCTGCCTCTGCTTCCATCAGTCGCTTGATTCTGTTTGCCATACTCTCTAACAGTGGAACTGTAGGTTGGCACTCCCCTTATTCATGTCTAAAATCCGTATATGAGTGAGTACATGCCATGTTTGTCTTTTTTTTTTTTGAGTGGGTTACCTCACTCAGGATGGTTTGTTCTAGTTCCATACATTTGCTTGCAAATTTCAAGATTCCATTGTTTTTTTTTCTTCTGAGTAGTACTCCATTGTTAAATTTAACATATTTTCTTTATCCATTCTTCAGTTGAGGGGCATCTAGGTTGCTTCCAGGTTCTGGCTATTACAAATAATGCTTCTGTGAACATAGTTGAACAGATGTCCTTGTTGTATGAATGTGCATCTTTTGGGTATATTCCTAAGAATGAAATTGCTGCATCTTGTGGTAAACTGACTCTCATTTTCCTGAGGATCTGCCATACTGATATCCAAAGTGGCTGTATATGTTTGGACTCTCACCAGCAGTGAAGGAGTGTTCCCCTCTCCAACATAAACTGTCATTGGTGTTTTTTTTTTGTTTGTTTGTTTTTGTTTTTTGTTTTTTACAAGACAGGGTTTCTCTGCATTGTTTTGGAGGCTGTTGGTCCAGCCCAGCCTTGAACTCACAGAAATCTGCCTGCCTCTGCCTCCCGAGTGTGCCACCACCGCCTGGCTGTCATTGGTGTTTTTTATTTTAGCCATCTAACAGGAACAAGATGGTATCTCAGATTTGTTTTGATTTGCATTTCCCTGATGGCTAAGGATGTTGAGCACTTTCTTAAGTGTGTTTCAGCCATTTTAGATTCCTCTATTGAGAATTCTCTATTTAGTTCTGTACCCCACTTTTAAAAATGATTAATTGTAGTTTTGGTGACTGGTTTCTTGAGTTTTTAAAAAATATTTTGGAAATCAGCCCTCTGTCAGATGTGGGCTTGGTGAAAATATTTTCCCATTCTGTGGGCTGCCATTTTGTCCTGTTGACTGTGTCCTTTTCCTTACAGAAGCTTCTCAGTTTCAGGAGGTCCCATTTATTAATTGTTAATCTCAGTGTATTTGCTACTGGTGGTATGTTCAGGAAGCTGTCTCCTGTACCAATTTGTTTGAGGGTACCTCCTACTTTCCCTTCTAAGCGGTTCAGAGTGGCTGGATTTATGTTGAGTTCTTTGATCCATTTGGATTTAAGATTTTTTTTTATATTTTATTTTCCAGTTTAAATTTAGATAAGAAACGAGGTTGCTTCACAAGTCAGTTCCAGGTCCCTCTCCCATTCCCTCCCCTCCTCCCGTGCCCTCCCCCCCAATCCCCCCTCCCCGTTACCCCCTCATTTCCCCATGGAGGGTGAGGCCCTCCATGGGGGGTGTCCACAGTCTGTCATTTCATATAGGGCAGGGCCTAGACCTTCCCCAAGAGTTCAGGGTGAGAGTGCACCTCACATGATACACATGAACCTATCTGCAGTCTTCTACATGTCTGCATCCAGTTATGCCAGGACCTTTTGTTGAAGATGCTTTCTTTTTTCCATTGTATAATTTTAGCTTCTTTGTCAAAAATCAGGTGTTCATATATGTGTGGGACCATATCAGTTTTTCAATTCAATTCCATTGATATACCTGTCTATCTTCATGCTGATACCAAGCTGTTTTCAGGACTACTGCTCTATAATAGAGCTTGAAGTCAGGGATGGTAATGCCTCTGGAAGTTCATTTACTGTACAGTATTGTTTTGGGTATTCCGGGTCATTTGTTTTTCATGTAACATTGAGTATTGTTCTTTCAAGGTCTGTAAAGAATTGTCCTGGGATTTTGATGGGGATTGCATTATATCTGTATATTGCTTTTGACAAGATTGCCATTTTTACAACATTGATCCTACCTATCCAAGAGCATGGGAGATCTTTCCATTTTCTGGTATCTTTTAAAATTTCCTACTTTAATGACTCGAAGTTCTTGTTATACAGATCTTTCACTTGTTTGGTTATCATTATCCCAAGGTATTTAATGCTGTTTGTGGCAATTGTAAAGTGCGATGTGTCTCTGATTTCTTTCTCAGCCAATTTATATTCTGTATATAGTAGGGTTACTGAGATTTTTTTTGAGTTAATCTTGTATCCTGTCACTTTGCTGAAGGTGTTTATCAGCTGTAGGAGTTTCTGTGTAGAGTTTTTCAGGTCACTGATGTAAACTATCATATCATCTACAAATAGTGAAAGTTTGACTTCTTTTTCAATTTTTATCCCCTTGATCTCTTTTTGTCGTCTTATTGCTCTAGCTAGAACTTCAAGCACAATATTGATGAGGTATGGAGAGTGGACAGCTTTGTCTTGTTCCTGATTTTAGAGGAATCCCATTGAGTTTCTTTCCATTTAGTTTGATGTTCACTGTTGGTTTGCTGTATATTGCTTTTATTATGCTTAGGTATATTCCTCTTATCCCTAATCTCTCTAAGACCTGTATCATGAAGGGGTATTGGATTTTGTCAAAGGCTGTTTTAGAATCTAGTGAGATGATGATCATATGATTTTTTTCAATTTCAGTTTGTTTATATGGTGGATTACATTGTTGAATTTTCATATGTTGAACCATCCTTGCATTCCTGGGATGAAGACTACTTGATCATGGTAGATGATTTTTTTTCATGTGTTTTTGGATTCGATTTTCCAGTAATTTATTGAATGTTTTTTCATCAATGTTCACGAGGGATTTTGGCCTAAAGTTCTCTTTCTTAGTTGTGTCTTTGTGTGGCTTGGCTACCAAGATAATTAAAGTTTGGCCATGACCTCTCTGCTTCTATTGTGTGGAATACTCTGAAGAGTATTGGTATTAGCTCTTCTTTGAATTCTTGTAGATTCCTGCCCTGAAACAATCTTACCCTTGACTTTTTTTTGTTTGGGAGAGTTTTGATGACTGCTTCTATTTCATTAGGGATTATAGGTCTATTTATATTGCTTATCTGATCTTGATTTAATCTTGGTAAGTGATATCTATCCAGAAAATTGCTCATTTTCTTTACATTTTCGAATTTTGTGGAATATAGGTTTCCGAAGTATGGCCTGATGATTATCTGGGTTTCCTCAGTGTCTGTTGTTATGCCCCCTTTTCATTTCTGATTTTGTTAATTTGCATGTTCTCTTTCTGTGCATTTTGGTAAGTTTGGATAAAGGTTTGTCTACCTTGATTTTCTCAAAGAACCAACTCTTTGTTACTTGGATTCTTTGTATTGTTTTCCTAGTTTCTAGTTTATCGATTTCAGTCCTCAATTCTTTTAAAGAATAGTTTATTATGTATACATTGTTCCTCCTGCATGTATCCTTGCAGGTGAGAAGCAGGCACCAGATCTCATTACAGATGGTTGTGAGCCACCATGTTGGTGCTGGGAATTGAACTCAGTAACTCTAAAAGAGCAGCTAGTGTACTTAACCTCTGAGCTATCTCTCTAGCCCTCAGTCCTCAATTTTATTATTTCTTTGCAACTACTCTTCCAGAGTTTGCTTCTCTTTGTTCTACAACTTTCAGTTGTGCTGCTAATTCTCTAGTGTGACTATTTTCCAGTTTCTTCATGTTGGCACTTAGTGCTATGAATTTTCCTCTTAGCACTGCTTTCAAAGTGTCCCATAAGTTTGTGTATGTTTGTCGTCATTCTCGTTGAATTTTATGAACTCTTTAATTTCCTTTTTATTTCTTCCTTGACCCAGGAATAGTGCAATTGTGCATTGTTCAGTTTCCACAAGATTGTAGGGTTTCTGCAATTTGTGTTGTTGTTGAATTCTAACTTTAAAGCATGGTGATCTGATAGGATACATGGAGTTATTCCAATTTTCTTGTAGCTGTTGAGGTTTGATTTGTTGCCTAGTATGTAGTCAAGTTTAGAGAAGGTTCCATGTGGCGCTGAGAAGAAGGTATATTCTTTTGTGTTTGGATGGAATGTTCTATAGATGCCTGTTAATCCCAGTTGGATCATAACTTCTTTTAGTTCCTTTGTTTCTTGGTTAAGTTTCTGTCTGGTGGACCTGTCTAGTGGTGAGAGTGGGGTGTTGAAGTCTCCTACTATGACTGTGTGAGGCTTTATGTGTCATTTGAGTTTTAGTAATGTTTCTTTTACAAAAGTGGATGCCTTTGTATTTGGGGCATAGATATTCACAATTGAGATTTCATGTTAATGGATTTCTTCTGTGATGAATATGAAGTACCCTCCTTCATCTCTTTTGATGGATTTTAAAGTTGTGTTTGTTAGATACTAGGATTGCTACACTCACTTGTTTCTTGGGTCCTTTGATTGGAAAATCTTTTCCCAACCCTTAACTCTGAGGAACTGTCTGTCTGTGAATTTGAGGTGTGTGTCTTGTATGTAACAGAATGATTAATTCTGTGTTGGTATCCATTCTATTAGCCTGTGTTTTTGTGTGGTGAGTAAAGACCATTAATATTGAGAGATATTCATGATCATAGGTTGTTCATTCTTGTTTGTTTGAATTTGTTGTTGGTGGTGGTATTGTATGTGGATTTCCACTCCTTTTTTCTTTTTGGCCATTGGCAAAGAGGGATTATATATTACTTGTATTTTTGTGGGTGTAGTGAATTTCCTTCTGTTGGAGTTTTTCTTTCAGCACTTTCTGTAGAACTGGATTATTGGATATATATTGTTTAAATCTGATTTTTCATGAAATATCTTGTTTTCTCCATCTATAGTGATTGAAAGCTTTGTTCATTATAGTAGTCTGGCCTGGCATCTGTGGTCTCTTTGTTTTGATAGAATATCTATCCAGGACCTTAAAAAATATGGAGCGCTTCATGAATTTTAATGTTATCCTTGCACAGGAGCCATGTTAATCTTTTCTGTATTGTTCCAATTTTAGTATATGTGCTGCTGAAGCCAGAACTTCCGCTTATTTTACATATCAATCCCAGTTCCCTCTCCCTCCCATTCTTCCTATTACCCCCCCACCAGCCCCCCAATCCACTCCCCAGGGAGGGTAAGGTCTTCCATTGGGGCATTATCAAAGTCTGTCATATCATTTGGGGCAAAGTCTAGGCCCTTCCCTGTGTATCTAGTCTGAAAGCGTTATTCCTAGTGCACAAAAGAAAGAAATTTTAGCTAACTAAACAGCCCATGTCTGCTATGAATTCTACTTGTTGATCTTTATTTTGTGACGAAAATTATGTAACTATTCACTTTGTTGTCCAGAGTGAGACTTTTTGAGGAAGAAGGTGGTACAGTGGCTGACAAAGGTAGAAAATAGGCACATGTGTAATAATGTTAACATTGATGAATGAAGTAATCTCTCTATTACATAATTCTAGACTGTTTGTATCTTCATATACCTTTTCTCTCCTCTTTACTTCACTTTTTCATCTTTCTATAACCTTGTTATACTTCATATATAGCTCTTTTGAATTTCTAAATTTTTGTTAATTTTTAAAACTTCACATATAATTACATCTCTTCCCTTTCCCTGTCTTCTCTATAAATCTTCCATGTTCCCCCTCACTTCTTCTAAAACTGACGACATCTTTTTATTATAATGCGTGTATATGTATGTATGTATAAATACACAAATATAACCTGTTGAATGATGTGGCTTGTGTAGGTGGAGACAAGGTTTCAGGGTTGACCACTTTGTTTTGGATAATCAGTTAGGGGCTCATCTCTGGGAGAGGTTAATTCTCCCTCTATTAGCAGTCATTAGTTGCTTGTAGTTCTTTTCCTGTAGGTGGGAACCCAAGAGATTTCCCATTTCTGTGCTGGCATGCCTATTGATATTGTCATTGTTCAGATCTTTTTCAGGCAGCCTATTGATGAGTTATTATGGATGAATCTTTCCTATCATTTCTAGGAAACACAACTTCAGAGAAGTGTTCCTCTTCTTCTGTCTGTTTCAATTTTTCTGTTCCTCTCTTTTGAGATGTTCCATGAGCCTTAGGTACAGTAGTTTGTAAAACAAAAAAAATAAAAGGTCCCAGAGACTGGTATTGGGACTCAGAGAAGCATATTAGAGGGCCACTAGCTCTTACCACTACCTCAGGCTGCTGCCTTTCCTCAGTGTGGCTGGAGAATCCTGAGACTGAATGTCTTCCTATGTTCAGTGTGGCTGGAGAATGAACACTTGATACTGAGACCTTGCTTCTGTCATATATACCTCCCTAATGCTGGGATTAAAGGTGTGTGATCCCAAGTGCTAAGATCATCTTTGTGTGAGCTGTTTCTCCTTAGGACTAGATCAATCATGTATAGATTTGGTTGACCTTGAACTCATAGAGATCCATCTACCTCATATTCCTGAGTCCTAGGATTAAAGGTATGTATTACCACTTCCTAGCTTCTGGCTGCTGGGACTGAAGGTGTGTACCTGGCTTCTATGGCTTATAGCTGACTTTGCTTTCTGAATCCTCAGGCAAGGTTTAATAAATCACAAATAATATATCATTACAGTAGTTATATTATGGCCTCTTTGATAAAGAGTGATCTGCATTTATCTATGGGTATAATTATGTTTTAGAATATAGCTAGAACTGTGCTGGTCCAGTAAACAGAGAGCAGCAGGCTCTCCTCTAGGATCACTATCCCTAGGCAGTTGAATAGGTTTTTAGTACCAGCCATTACTTCTCTCACACTGAGTGGCCCTTTAGTCCAAGTAGACAAATTTTGGTTACTACCAATATATGAGTACCAGTATAGCATCTTTAAGAACTTCTTGTCATGCTGATCAATGCTATAGTTCATTGGCATCGAAGCTGGATGCTTGTATAGTACTTTTTAATAATATGAAATATAAGCCACAGAGGGTCAAGAATTTTATATAGTTTACTTTCTTCCCAGAAGTTGAGACAATAGGGCTGAAAATGTATATCTTTTAATATAATATATATGCTTATTTCTTTTGTTCTTTAAACTATTCAGGGTATAGAAAATGAATTGGCTTTAAATGAAATCTTGCTATTGTTCCTAGTATACAGAAAGAGTTTGGGATAATTTCTTATCTGATAGTGGCATCTCAGTGTAATACATCAGGGAAGAGTCTGATCATTTTGGTTAACATTGGGGTCTGTCTGTGCTTTCCTTCTCACTACTTAAATGTCTTCCTTCCAAATTCCAATGTAAATCATGTCACAGTGCTAACATTTATTTCTCTAGGTAAGGACTCTGAATCCTGTGCTTTTCATGTACTGCTTTCCAACTGCTATATAAACTGGGTTAGCATTTTATCGTCTATTGTTTTTCTTCAATTTCTCAAGTTCCTGTGGCTTAGAAAGAGAGGAAACATTTCTCTGCATGAACGGAATAAAAAATCACTTTTAGCTTCCATTATTCTATTCTTCAGAAGAAAGATTGGCAGATCTCCCAAAATCTCTAGGACCTGCTGAGTCCAATCTAGTATATAACCATGGTGGGTAATGACTATTTTCTCAGTCCATTTAAAGGTGTTATTAGTTCATATCTCTGCAGAACAGTTAGGAAGCAAGGAATGAAGCTTCCTGACTTCTTTCTCTTAAAAATCTGTTTTACTTTAATCCCCAATAAATAGATGCTACCTGGGTAATGAAGCAAATCTTACCAAAAAGAAATGAGAAACCAATAAGTGCAGTTTATCATTATGGAGGCTATGACTCAAGAAAATCTCCATGTCTTCCTAATGCATTCCATGTCACACGCTGTGGATTTTTTCTTACTTTTGACAGTCATATTGGTAAAATTACTTACCAATGAAAACTATTATTTTGTGATTATTTTTTCTTTGCCGATCAGGAGATTATATCATCAACACTCAGAATCTCAGCTTTGAGAATTTGGAATGAAATGATGATACAATATATTGAATTAAAATGTTATTTTAGGTCTTTCTCCCATTTGGTCTATTATTGGGGGTTTTCCATCAAAGAAAATGTTTAATTCATAATGGGGATACCTAAATGCCAAAATCTGAGAGTTTCCCTAAGTCTCAGAAACTGCTTCTGGGGCACATTAATAAATCTAAGGTTGGTGTCAGAAAGCCCAAGCCATACAGCCCTGTCATTCAATCTTTTATGTTACAAACCCAGCCCACCAGAGTAAGCATAAAGAAATTCACACCATGCTTGAGATGGTAGAATATTATTTTTCTTTAAGAAATGCATTTGTTTTATTTCTGAAATTAATTACATCATTTCACTCTTCCCTTTCCTCACTCCCAAACCTCCCATATATCCCCCTTGCTTGAATTCAAATTCATGGCTTCTGCTTTCACTAATAGTTATTAGAGGCATATATGCACATATGTATTCATACATATTCCTAAATATAACATGCTCTTTCTCTATAATGTTACTTACATGTATGTTTTTTCAGGGCTGGCATGTAAAGTATGGGGAAGGAGTACAGGTCTTGAACCCTACACATAGAAATATAGATGATTAAAGAATGCAGAGTGCAGGAGAAGCCGTCTTACCTGGGGAAGTGGCTATAGGCAGTATAAGGAGTGGGGCTTAATGAAATCTCTTTTTTCCTGCAACTCTATTGCACACCCCCTTCAAAGTAGAGCTTCATAGAACTGCATTTTAGATAACAATTAGAAATGTATATATAATATATTATTTTAATTTATTTAACTTAGCAACAATCTTATTTTATATATCAATCCCATCTCCCTCTCTCTTCTATCCCCCCATGATTCCACCAACTCCCCATCCTACCCTTCATCCACTCCCCAGGAAGGGTGAGGATTTCCATGGGGGATCATCAAAGTCTGTCACATCATTTGGAAGAGGGCCTAGGCCCTATTCTACATGTCTGGGCTGAGAGAGCATCTCTTCATGGGGAATTGGCTCCCAAAGTCCACTTGTGCACTAAGGGTAAATAGTAGTTCCACTGTCAAACGTCCCATAGACCGCCCAGGCCTCCTTACTGACATCCACATTCAGAGGGATTTGATCGGTCCAATGTTGGTTATCCAGTTTTACCACTGGGGGCCATGTGTTCTTACTTGGTCAGGTCAGCTGTTTCTGTGGGTTTCCCCAGCATGGTATTGACCCCTTTGCTCATTATTCCTCCTTCTCTACAACTGGATTCCAGTTCGGCTCAGAGCTTAGGTATGGGTGTCTGTTTCTAATTCTATCAGCTACTGGATGAAGGCTCTAGGATGGCATTTTAGGTAGTCATCAATCTCATAGAGGAAGGGAATTTAAGGTAGCCTCTCCACTATTGCTTAGATTCTTACTTGAGATCATCCTTGTATATGTCATCGTCCCCTCCTGGCCCCACAGAAGCTACTCTCCTGGTGAGATGGCTGAGAATGTCAGAAGCTCTAGGCTTTCACTCCAGAACATCTTCATTTTGATTTTAGGATTCAATACACTACTTGGTTTAAATTAAATCTTCCATTTTTAATGTTTGGAAATAATTGATATTCTAAAATTTTAAAATGAACCTCTATCATTTCCAATGGTTGCCCCAACTTGTTGTCTTTCTTGCTACACACACACACACACACACACACACACACACACACACACACACACACACATTTGTTTGTTTACTTGTCTTTGTTATAGGGTGTCTCTGTGTAGCCTTGGATGTTCTGGAACTCTATATAGACCAGACTGAACTCAAACTCACAGATATTTACCTGCTCTGGCCTGGTTGCTGGGATTAGAGATGTGTACCACTCCTGCTGGATCTTAATTACATAAATTTAAAATTGATTTTTATGGTGAAAATTCAAGGAAATATGTTTCATTACAACAAAATACATTTCATTACAACATTTTTCAATGTGTGTGTCATTATACTTTTTGTTTCATTTGTTCCCCTCCACCATTGACCTTTGCTGCCTGGCTTCCTTCCCCTTGACAAAATCCTCCGATTCTGATTTATTTTCATGTGTATTCCATTCTCCTCTCTTTACTC